GCTTTTGTTCGAGGGTTAAAGGAAAAATAGAAAAAACTCTAGCTTCCCATTTAGTCATGGGAAAGGTTTCTATGCTTCCTCTACAGCATAGAAGTTCTATCCTCCCCCTACCATCCAGCCGTCCAATTTTGATCAAGAGAGCTACTCACCGTTTGATCTTAGATCCAATGTCTCAAAGTATTTTATTTTTAGTTTTTCTTTTATGCAAATTGTATGAATATGAAATTTGGTACATACCATCTTCCCATTGCGGCGCACCTATAAAAAATATTAAAAATAATTTTTTGATAAAATATAATGATCAAAATACCCTTTAAAATTTTCAGGGGCATTTTGGTCATTTTTTTTTATTGAAAATACATATTTTTTTATATTTTTCACTAGTGCTAGTTTAATAAAAGAATGGACGGTCAAAGTTGGTGTCAAAATAGTTTATAGAAAAAAAATTACAAATAAAATAGTGTAAAGACATGACATTATGATTGGGGCAATCTTAGTCCCCCATTCAGGATGGATGGTTGGATAAAGAGAAAGATAGAACTTCTATGTTATAGAGGAAGCATAGAAAGCTGGTTCTTTTCTCATTGCCTAGCCCAAACTTGTGCGATCGCTCCTCCCTTAGCCACCACTCAATCACCTCCTCCATCCCCACCTCAAATTGCTTTTTAAGGTACCTCTCTCTCTCCCTAAATCTTTTTATTTCGCCTCCTAAATCACCCTCCTCTCTATCTCTCTCCTAAAAATCTTTCTCCCCCTCCCCTCTTTTTAAAATTTCTGATTTTTTTTTGTCTCTATTATTTGTCTTTCTACGGTTTCTCATTTTTTACTCTTAAAGTTAATGCTCCCTCACACTTTCTCGTGTTGTAATTTTGTTTTTAAAAATAGTGTATGTTATTTCAAATCCCTTTTGGTCCATAATGTTTTAAAATATGTAAAGCCTTGAAAATGATGTTTTGTCTTATATATGGAGAGAGGCTTATTTTTCTTGCATTGAAGATGTGGTAGAGGGAACTTATTCAAATATGTAGACATCATCTTTACTTGTGTTTTAATAATTAAAGGTAAAAAAGGCCTATGCAGAGTACAAGTAATGTGCAAACATATTGAGGCACGCACTCGTGCACATGTATATGTGTGTGTAAAGGCCCACGAACTCATAATGACCCACTTTACACTTCACATCGGTACCTGAGGTGCATCAAGTCGCTTGTAATCTTTTGCGACAATGGATAAACCACTGGTTGATTATAGTGGCGTCCCAGTAATTTGCCCCTCTAGAGTACTTGCATAAGTGTTGGTGGAGTGGTGCACTCCGATGAACTGTGCCCCCATCAAATGGTTTCGGTGGATGGTGCGTTCTGAAGTATTGTGCTCTCTGATGGATTGGTACCTCTGGTACTTAGGTCCTAATGGTGAAGACTCATGCATAGCACATGACGGTTACTTTTGTTTCCCTAAAATGTGCACAAAAGGAAGATTTGACAATAATATGACTCAAGAAAACGAACAAGAACAATGCACAGAATGAAGAACAAATTCACTCAAATTTCATTATCATGAAAATTCAAAATAGGTTTTTATAGATGTGATGGAATCGTGAGGTACTCCATGGAATTTAAATCCTTATTACAATTTACACTGTGCAAAACACAGACTCAGGCACCTTTGATTAAGGCCTCGAGCATCATAGGCTCAAAGAAAAGAGAAAACATGCAGAGAGAAAAAGAACACCTTCCTTCAAGGAAGTCACTCGCTCCATCAGATTTTATTATTTTGGAGGGATATAACTATCAAAATAACAAGTTCAATCCACAACACCAGGAAACAGTGTTTCAAAAAGCGCTAGGCGGTTTTAGGCAGCTTGGGAGGTCTAGGTCACCCAGTACCTAGGCGGGTGTCCAAAACCTGAGCATCTCAGTAGAAAAAAAAAGGACTATGTAGTCTCTAACAGTATAAGTATAACTGTATATTGTATAAAATATAATAATTAAGGATTTAGGGTACATCAAAATTCAAAAGTATACTACACAATATATAGGAGCACACACTCTATAAGCATAACTATAAGTCTATATCCAATTATGAATTATGAATTATGAATGATCCATAGTCTGATTGATAGTCCACAATCCACACTCCACAATCCACATTCCACACATAGACATAACTAAAACTGAAAATTTTCCTATCAAAGTTAACAAATACCAACCCAATAGACCCACAAATCCACTCTCCATGATACACAACTAAGAGGAGGAAAACAAAAATGAAATAAATACTTGAAGACTCAAAAGAATCTTCAATCAGTGTTTAAAGTTCATATATGGGTTGATTGACGACCAAGACTCTTAAGGCATGATGGGGCCTTTATATGGCGAGTCATTATATCATACTCCGTATATTATATCAGGAGCATATCTTGCAAATATTTTCAAGAATTGTATCCATTGGGTTTGCTTAATTATCCACCGTCTACCAAGATATATTAGTCTGGCGTATGTTCGATACTTATCTCATGGTCACACCCTCAGGTTTATTGACGCTTGGATGATGACTAAAAATACACCCAATACTTATATCCAAACTGCCTCTAAATAAGGCAGGGAGGCATATATTGTCTTTGGGATATTTGATCCTATCCTCTGGTCTCAAAGTGAGATTTGTCACACTCTGAGTATTTTTTACTATTTCAATATCTTTAACTGATGGAATTCCTCAGAGCATGCTAACTTATATCCAAACTTACCCTAAATTGGGCGGAGAGGAATATAACAGCCCTGAGAGTATATATATCTCATAGTCTGGTCTCAAAATGAGATTTGTGAAAGTTGTTGAGTATGTCTGGCGGTTAATATATATGATGACCAATTGTGGAACTTTTGAAGCACATGAGACCTTGTAGGGCAAGTCCCACTTATATTAATGTTTGAGGTATTTCCCATTGATAACATACCGATTGATCATCCATAAAGGCTTTTTGTCCATTAAGCTCGCATGTACTTGAGGATGTTCAATTTGCACATGAATTAATCCCATCTTTCGATTTCTTATACTTTTATCTCAAATTCAGGTGTCCAAAAAGTCAACTCTACCGGAACTGAAAAAGACATCATATGATTGTGGGCGCATATGTGATAAGTTGGCCGGTAAGTTTTCAGAACCCTAAAGGTTACCATGTGACTGTTAGCTATCATGTAGCACGGCAAATGCACCAATTTGACGGTGGAGATTTCATGACACCCAAATCTTGACTTATGGGTAATTGAACAGTCATGCACAGTAGGTGAAAAGACACTTTGTCTCTATAAATATGGACATATTTCCTCTTGTTTTCACAACAAGCTTATACAAAATTTTCCAACTTTCATTTTCACTCTCTATAAAAGATGTAAATCTGGTCCTCCAGAATTTGCAATACTTGTATATTTGTATGGGCAAGTTAGTTTCCTCAATCATCTGCTCTTATGATTCCAAAAGACAAATTTGTTTGGTAGAAACTTAGACACACACTGATTCATACTAGTAAAAGACAAATGTTATCTTCTCGTGCTGGGTATCAAAGAAATTGAAGCTTATTTGTTTCATTTATCTTTTGTTTTCCCGTCTCTAAGATCTCTCATTTATATATTAGCTCATATATCGAAGCATTATTTTTACTTGTATCTTTCCATTTTCCTTGGACATTTTGGTAACAAATGAGCATTAAGCTAAAGAAATTTCAGGCCGAAATTTCATCGGCTCGTGGGTTTTGGGTTACGAGGTTTGATGGAACAACTACGAAATGGCAAAAAGAAGCGATGAAAGGGCATAAAATGCAGGGAATGGGATCTACGAAGGTTTCACATAAAATGTCCCTTTCAAGGAGGTTACATATGACGTTTCTAAAAGATTTCTTATTCTCGTTGGAGTATATTATTTAGTTACTTCCTCAAGCAAAATACATGCCACCAGGGATATTTTTTAGATCTCAAATTTGGATGATGTAATCTTCATAACATATAGACTATTCTCAATAAAAAAATCCCAAATAAATTCTCTATATACAAGAAAAAATATTTTTTAGATCTCAAATCTCCATAACCCCAGTAATCTCAATAAATAAAAAAAACAATTGTTTTTTAGGTGAGGTTTGTACAAGGTGTCAACCTTAAACAATCACTGTAAGGTGCACCTCAAAATCTCAATAAAAGATGTATTTTCGATGCCAAAACTCTTATCATGGCCTATAAGTCTATTTTTTCACCCCTATTATGAAATTGAAAGCTCCGAAAATAATGCAAATCTAACAAGATCTAGGAGCACTCGAAATTCTTGGAAGTGGACGGTATAAATAATGTGTTACAAGATGCATTATTTTTAGGACTTAAAATTTATCTGTTTTTTCATGTTCATATATATTGAAGTTAAGATTATCAATTGGAGAATTTTTTAGTGATAAAATAACCTTTTTTTTATGTTTTTTAGGTGCACCTTATCTCTATAGTATAAGGTTGACACCTTATGCAAGTTTTTTCCATATTTTTTATATAGAAAAGTATACAATGAGACCATTTTGTTTGGTACAAGATGGTCACAATTAATCTTTGTTATTGGATTGAAATTGGATTGCTAGAGCAAGCTCAAACTTCAAAAGAAATTTTTTCTTTGTGATACATCCAAACTATCATACTTGTATCATCAAAGGTAAATTGTTTTATTGTATACAATCTCTTTTTATAAACTAAAAAAAACTAATGCCTCAATATTGAATAGAGATTGTCAAATCTTTGAACACGAAGTTCAAAATTCAACTTCTTTCCTTTGAAAATGATGATCTACTAAGTATTGTGTTGTTACAAAAATTTTAGTAGTAGTATTTCCAAATAGGTTTTTTTAAGGGAGGCAGTATATGCACATTTTGATCCCGCGGTAGCATTGTCTATACGCTCTAGGGTAATTTCCCAAAGTCTTATTTTAAAAGAAGGCACGCACGAACAAAACCGTCTCTCTTCCATCTTTAACTCCGCCATTCGCGCCTCCCCTGTCTACCCCGAGAAGCCCTCTGCAACAATATCTCTCTCACATTCTTACCGAAACCCTCTCTAGAGCGATCTCTCTCTCACATACGGAAACCTTTAAATGTTTACTGTGCTTTATAGTGATTTTCCGGCCATTTTCTCGATCTGGTCCGGAATTTGTTAATTTCTAGCGTTTGATGGTTTTAGGACCTTTTCGTTTGAGCTTGAGCTAAATTCTTTGATCATTTGAACTTGAAGAATTTCCCTTTTTGATTATTAGGCTTTTTCAGCTATTTCCTTTCGAGCATGAGATTTTTTTTTAGCTTGTTTATAGGATTTGCGGTTCATTTTTTTTCCTGATCGATCTAAATTCATCTGGATCAAGCTACATTCTTGTGGTCTGTCATTTGTTCTCGGTATAAATGGATCTTCTTTGCTGAATCTGAGCCATTTCCTGGCAATGTTGTAAGGGTGAAACAGAAAAAATTAAATCTTAATGGCTTTCTTATAAAAGAGAATATAAGAGAGAGAAAGAGGAAGTTTTTTCGATACTTTTTTTTTTCTCTCTCTCGCTCAACTCTCAAACCTCAAGCGCTGGTTCTCCGGCAAGATTCCGGCCAGTTCTGAGGAGAATCCGGCCAGCTTTAACAATCAGGTTAGTTTTTTATTTATCTTAGACCAATCCGATCGGTGACCAAACCAGTAACATGTTTCCTGGTTATTTGATGATTTTTTAGCCATATTTATTTCTGGTTGGTTTCTTCCAATCAAGTTCTGGCTATTGTATTGGAAGATTCCTGGTGCATCCAACTCTATATCGCTTAGCTCTCAATCTTGAGGTAATTGATTAGACTTCAAACATTTTAAAAACTGTTTTGCGTGATAGCTTTGTGAAGGGGTTGCAGAAGGATGGACTCATTATCTTCAGTCAGTGTTGCTCTCTCTGATATCGAAGGGCAGATCAAAGACATATTTCGAGCATTATCGTGAGGATTTTCATAATCTTATTGATTTATAGAACTATATATGTCTTTTAGAATAGAAAGTGAATTTAATGGTAATAATCATGATTATAATTGCCTTGTGAGTGGATCTTGCAGAGATGTTTGTGAATTCTTACAGCTGAACTTTAACAGATTATATTTACACCTACAAAATTAAATGGGCATAATCGCAATTCCTTGTTCGTGTTTGTGTTAAACATTTATCTGGAGGTCACAAAGCATAAGATAGAAACAGCCATTGATGTCAAATTCTGTGCATGAAGATATGAAGTCAAAAGTGTCCATATGTTATGGCTCCTTAACTGTTTGGGACTTCATATTCTTCTTATCCTTGTCATATTTTTCAATTATTGACATTGATATGGAAAGCATACATCTCGTAGTACACAATGCAGACAAACAGAGGAGTACACTGAAAAGTGGAAAGGTCAGAATATGCTTACAAAAAGATGAGATTTAAAAGACACAATGAGTGAACATGAAAGAGGGGGAACAATCAATCCATTATATTCCTAGAAGAGTAACACTTCTTGGATCTATCATTTATACCGAGATATATGCTGTCATAGATAGGGAGACAATCTGCTTTCTGATAATTCTTATCGCTGTGAAATTTGGTATTGGAAGTGGTAAGTTTACCTTGGTGGCAAAACTCCGACAATGAAGGCCCGAATTGAAGGGAAAAGAAATAAAAAAAAAGGCCCAAATCCGGCATGAAGGGAATCCATTGTTCACTTAGAATGATTTGCAACACACAAACACACATCCAAAACATGATTCATGTTGATTTGCCCCATTGCTCCTAATCCTTGTCATCTAGCAATGCTGTAATGACTAAGATACTGTATTTATTATTGAATCTACAAATGTCCTTTGATAAGTTGTTGCTCTATTTTGATTTGTATCATAAGACTTTGTCATTTTTGATAATGAGGTTGGTTGTGGATAAGGGTTCCTTTGAGGTCTCTACAAGTATTTGAGCTCGTATGCGGTTTGTACTTCTAGTGAGTTTCGTAATTTAGAATTTGATTTAGATTTTCAGCTGCAGAATCCTGTATAAGAGAAGTAATAGAGATTGGTATCTAATGGATAATGCCTGATGTTCTATCATGAACCTTCTCCTTATATGGGTATAATGACTATCTTAGAATTTAACTAAAATGTTATTGATAATTAATTAGATAGTCACATTGGATTAAAAATGCTGGAATCTTTAGTAACAGAATGCTACAAAAGGAAGTCATTTTGAGCTGTATAGCTTGTGGTCTTCTTTTCAAGCTTACTGTGTTGAAACTAGATCTGTTTAGTACATTCATTTATATGGGGCTTCAAAGTCATTATGTCGAGTTTGAGATTATATCTCAATGAAATTAGTCTTTGTTTACTTTGTTTCACCATTTCAGTGTTTAATGGTGAAATAAACAATGACGAAATGTGTGAAGCTGGTGATAAAATGTGTGGATCTCAGACATTCTTTTGGTGCTTAGTAAAACGAAAGCTTTCCCTTTTCTGTATGTGGATTTTCATATCATTTCTGTTGCAGCAATGGATATCAGAAACTAGAGAAAATGAAAGATTCCAATAGACAAAGTAGGCTGCTGGAGGAGCTTACTGGAAAAATGAAGGAATGCAAAAGGTAGGGCACAGTTTCCTTTTGCTTTAATATGTTCAGTTTTGATTGTTCTAGTTTTCCTTTCGTTGTTTTGTATGTAATGTTTATGGAATTCATATAATGAGACGTACACCTGAACATAAATTATTTGTGATCCTTGAAAAGATGAGTTTGAGATCAGCATACTTGGGCATCCTTTCCTTGATGCTGCTTGCAAGCATGTATGAATTGGAACACCACAAATGAGTGTGTAGGTGACCCTATTGACATGCGCTGAAAATGTTGGTTTGTATATGTCTGTTGTAAGTTATTTTGAAAAAGGGTGTCCTTGGTGACCCTATTGACATGCACTGAAAATGTTGGTTTGTATGTGTATTGTAAGTTATTTTGAATAAGGGTGTCCTTGATGTGATAGTGATAGTTTTTTGGGATCTCATATATTCCCTCTTGTTTTTAGATATTCTAGGTTTGATAGCCTTCACATGGTCTTTATTTTCTCTAATTGCTCATTGGTATTTAAGTTTATCCAGAAATAGTTTATGAGATTTTGTTCCATATAGGGTCCTTTTTAAAAATTTTGTGATAGTTTCCATTTTCTTCCAGGCTTATTAAGGATTTTGATCGAGAAATAAAGGAAGAGGAGAGTAGGAACCCTCCAGACACAAACAGACTTCTCAATGAGAAAAAACAATCAATGGTGATGTTCTACTCTTTCAAAAGCTTATAGTGGTTTATCCCTATTTGTTCTACCGTTGAGGCCTTTAGATATCTTATGAATGCTTGTATTTTATGTTTTTGATGGTCTTGTCATGTCTTGCAGATTAAAGAATTGAATTCTTATGTAGCTCTGCGAAAGACGTAAGTTACTAATTTCTACTTCTAGATTATTAATCATGTCTCAAAAGTTCTTGTCATGCATATTAAAATTTCTTGCATAGAACGATTTTTCCATATCATTAAATACCAGTGATTATCATTATCATAATACTGATTTAATACGACAATTGAGATAATAGTTGGGAAATTTTCCCTTTCATCTATATTCCTCCAAATTCCATTCTATTTCTGCATATGAAAGGTGCACAAAATGTATTTTGTGCCAAAGTAGTGCCATATATGACTATCAATTTGAACTTGGATGTGAGGCTTATTGGTTTTGGGGAGAACTGATCATAGCAGGACAGGCATAGAAGTTAGAACACTGTGTGGTGGTGGTGGGGGGGGGGGTAGCAGTAATTTTTGGGATTGTGGCTTTATGGCCTGAGATTTGAGGCACACATTTGGGGGATAATTAGTGTTGTATTATAACTCAAGTTCAAGGATCCAAATTAGATTTTTGTGGAGATTATCGTCACAAACCAAACATATACTTTTTTTTTTTAATACTTTACCTTTCCTTCCCTATGGGATTTATAAATTTCACAAGTGATAGTAACTGAATGCTTCCTAGCTTTGTGTTTCTTTATCAATAATATATGAATTAAATAACTTACAAAAAGAGGGGTATAGATTTTGTTCTAGTCTTAGGTGAGTTCTAGTTAGGTCCCCAGTATGGAATGATAGTAGAAAAAAAATTTAAAATAAAGATGTGTAATTAATGTCTTGGCTGTTTGCTCTTAGATTTTATTATTGAGTTGAAGGGAAAATCTTTTTTCCTTTTATCTATGTGAATATAAAGATGTTGGTTGGAGATGATATTCTGTTGGTCTTAAGTGAAGTCTAGTTGTGTCCCCTGTAAATGAATTTTAAAAACAATGACTAAGTAGTGTCCTGAGTTCATTTATTGATTTCTGGATGATTGATGCGTATATAATATAATGTTGTAACTGATCTTAATTTGTACAGGATTAATTAGTGGCAAGTTTGTGTTGAGAGGATAAACTCGATTCATAATTAATGTACCAGACATCCACAAACTGTAGTGGATTAAGGTTCCAGAAGTGGTTGGCAAGTTAAAATACTATTAAGATACAAGCTCTTCCTTTTATGTTTAAGATTTCGGACTTACCCGGAACTTTACTATCCTAAGCATATTATCCTGTTAAGAGGAGAGTGAACTCAGCGGCTAATAATCTACAAGTGATTAGTCTAGTGGTCCCTTCCATCACCTGCCTTTAGTGCCCAGCCTTCGAAGAATATTCGTCAAGAATCTGAGTCCATGTAATATGACCTTTTTAAATTTGTGATGTGATTTAAGAACATTATGTACAAAAAGGTATATTTATAATTAGTCATAATGAAAAACTATTTACTCTTTTCCAAATAATGAATTTTTCTTGTAGGGTGTGTACAATTATACCAGAAAGCATTATCTATCATTTGCTAGTGATGTGCTAGAAGATTATAATCTGATAACCTTGTCATTCTTGTGATCATCTTCTGCCATGCCACTTAGGTTGTAGCTGAATCTTTTCTTGGTCTATTTTTGCTTTATTTGTATGCGTCCTTGGCAACACTAGTTTGTGTTTCATTTGCTATTATTTTCATTAACTATTTGTAATGCTACATGTAGTACTTACTCTAATGCTTGATTATGCTTCTATAAAAATTGCTTTATGAGTCATAATATGCCAATTATTTGGGCCTCTTCAAAGCTCATGCAAATATGCTTGCTTTTATTGATAAATAATCTGGGAGTCAAATTGACCAATTACTAGCTTCTATGTTAAGTGTGAACCAATTTGTTTTATTCGTACATTTATGCTTTTGTTTGGCATGGCAGATATGCTAACTCCCTTGAAAACAAGCGAGTTGACCTCTTTGATGCAGGTGGTGGTGGTGGTGATGTTTTTGCCAAGGAAAATGTGCAATTGGCTTCATGTAAGTGGCTTTATTCTTTTGGGCTGCAGCAATTTATAGTTCTTAAAGCAATGATATTTTTTTTATCCATCAATGGATCATTCCTTTGTTTGGATGGATTCAGTATATCATACAAAAAAGCTGGTGTAGTTTTCAGGAATCCCAAACATTTTCCTGCCCTTTTTTTATCTCCTTTAGGGGAAGGAGTCATGACTTATCACTCAAAAAGCCTCATTTTTTTCAGCATATCCCTTCCATGTATATCAATGATGCTCTTGAGCCATTTTATTTATTTATTTTTATATGCTTCCCTGCTGCTGCTGTAACAATGGGAAAAGATGCTAATATTAATCTTTATATCTGTTAACTTTAGTTTAAAGTTGTCTCATGTGAAATCTGCTGACATTTTGTTCATGTTACTTGTATGTAATTTGAACTTTGGAGAAATCAGACAGAAGACTAAGTCATAAACAGATAATAACTCCTGGTTTGTATCTTTTACAGCCATTTCAAGTTCATAATATATGTCAGAAAAGAATATAGCAACACTGCCCATTCTAGCTCTCAATATGATAAATATTGCATCGGATCCAAGTCAAATTGCAGGACATTATCATAACAAACTTTTAAAGCATGAAGAGAAGGAATCACCTTAGAAACAGGTAGCAAGCCATGAGACCTTGCAGTGTTTCAAAAAGCGGACCGCCCAACGCCTGGGCGGCCGTCTAGGCGGTTCTGGGGGCCTGAGCGCTAGGCGCCCAAAAAAAGCGGATATCTCTGGGCGCCCACCAAGGTGCCCGGGAATCAGCCTAGGTGGCTGCCTGACCCCGCCTAGGCGGCTGCCTAGGGCCTGGGGGAGGAAATGCCCCTCGTTGAGGGTATTTTGGGTCATTTTTTTAATACTAAAGGTACAAAATTGTGGGTTTTAGGTTCATTTGAAACCTAAAACCCATTAGAGCCTATTTTAGAGAGAGAAAAAAAAAAAAACATACTGGGCCGCCCAGGTTCTAGCGCCCGCCTAGGTGCTGGGCGGCTTGGACCCCCCGACCACCTAGGTGCCGCCTAGCGCTTTTTGAAACACTAAGACCTTGTTTATTTGTGATGGATAAAAATGTGGACTCTATAACCAACAATCCTTGATTGTACCATTCTTTATGAAGTTAAAGCAGAAGATGTTGTCATACTAAAACTTTTAATGAAGAGCGCCTGAACCCTGATGCACACATTTCGTGTGATCAATCTCCATTTAATGAAGAAAGCCTAAACTCTTCTTCCCACACATCAGGAGCTACTTGATTTTATCTTCCTAATAGTTTCTGATCGATGGTAGGATTGTAGCAGATGATATTTCTTTGTTTAGTAAGTATAGAAGTTGCTGGACATTTATGGAATTGGACTGCAGTAGCATTCAGTGATTCTCTTAACTTTTCCATTTCATATGCTAACCTAGATATGTGGCTTATTGTTCTATTCTGATACACACTTTATGAATGATACAGCTATGACAAACCAACAATTGGTTGATAGTGGAAACCGAATGATGGACGACACCGATCAAGTTATTGAGCGATCCAAAAAGGTGGGCATTTGCTTCTTTAGTAAGACTGCGACTCCTTGCTGAACTGGTTCAGTGAACATTTGAGTTTCTTTACCTGAATTTGAATAAAAAAATCTATGCTTTCTGGGAAATCTCGGTCCTCCCTTTGCTCCTTTGAGCTCGAATTTTCACAATGAAGCAATTTTCTTTTGATTAATATGTATCAGAATTATACAACTGTTTAATATTCCATATTTGTGGTGTCTTATTTTCTTCTTGTTGATCTGATGTTTTCAATATAACGAATAGTTTACTTTATTTTGGCTCGTGTATTGATATCTATATTTATCCCATTCCAGGTTGTGGAGGACACCATTAATGTTGGGGCAGATACTGCAGCTGCCCTCAAGGCACAGGTATGTGAGATGACATGACCATGGGTATTCATTGCCCCTCTCTCTCTCTCTATTATTTTTCTCTCTGGGATCCTTGGGTGTCTTGTTCTTCTACTAGGCATAGCAATTTAAATTTTTCATTTTCAGAAGATTCCTGTTAATTATTTTATGGAATCAATTTTCATTGTTGAATGAAATCATTGTGGAAACTTGCAGACCGAACAAATGAGCAGAATTGTTAATGAACTGGATTCAATCCATTTCTCAATCAAAAAGGCTTCTCAACTGGTTAAGGAAATCGGTCGACAGGTGAACTTTAACAGTTTTCTCTAAACTACCTTCCCAATAATAAATTGGTTGAATTTCAATTTTATCTTGTCATCATCAAGCACAACAACATCATTATCATCTTCATTTTCTCATTACAATTAATTTATTTATTTATAGGCTGCAACACTTTATTGTTGCTACCTTTGCTGTTGTGGTCTTTTTATGATGAATATGGCTATTTACATCATGATAGAGACTATTAGCTACAAGTATTATAATGATAATGCCTATAATCATTCATAATTGTTATCGGTGTTCTCAGGTTGCTACGGATCGGTGTATCTTGGCATTGCTCTTTCTAATTGTTTGTGGCGTGATAGCAATCATCATAGTAAAGGTTCGCAACAATTTTAATGACATTTTTTTTTATACCAATAAGTTACTTTTTTTTTAGAATAGCTTACTGTAGTGTAGATAATATTTAACAGACTTACAAAAAGCCCCCTTGCCCATGCTGGCAGCCCACATGGTGGGTGCTCAAAAGGGCATGGGCAAAGAGAGGGAAAGAAGAAAAAAGTTGCCCCCCTGGAGATGGGAGTGGGAGTAGGAGGAAGAGAGGTAAATGGCGACCCAGATCATTGATGGTGGTCCTCAATGATCTCATAGCAGGAAACAATAAGTTGTGATTTCAGTTTTGTTACCTATGATGCATGGTTGCTTCAAAATGGGTGCCATATCCATGTAGGATACTTCATATCATGTGTATAATATTAAAAGTTGATGATTTTGCCATGCCTTAGGCTGTAACCATGCATTCTAGACTGTGACATCATTGGGCTTTCTATTGAAAGGCTTTCATTTTCTGTTTTATGAGTTGTCATACTCACTAATTGTTTACTTACTTTTTATTTTGAAATCAGTTACTATGAATTTCATTCACCCATGAACGATTGCAAAGAGTTTCAAGAAGAAAAGGATGTAACCACCAATGAATGTCGGTGCACACCACTCTTTGCTAAAGCGTCAACTTCCATATTAGCCTCTCTAAAACAATGAGATTAATCAAAAGAACCACTACTTAAAATGAAAAATATTTGATCGAAAATGCTGCATAATTTCCAAGGTGGCTTCATTTCTCCTTTTGCCCAAGCAATGATATTGCTTGAATCACCTTCAATCGTCTTTTGGCCCTAGAGGTTCTTTATTATCTTTAATCCCTCCAGAAGAGCTCTTACCTCAGCTTTAGTCACTGTTGTATGTCCACATGGTCCTAAATAGGTAAATTTGTAATTACCCATATGATCTCTACTTGTACCCCCATAACCTGCTGGGCTTGGGTTTCCAATCGAGCTTTCATCAAAGTTGAGTTTTAAGCAATTTTCACGAGGATGCATCCAAATAGTATTTCGAGTCTGTCTGTCATTATTAAGCTTAGCAACTTCAGATGGGTTTTCAAAAATCTGTGATTTTGGGATAAACTTACAATCCTTGTTTGTTGAAAACGATTCAGCTGCTGTTGCTAAGGTTTTGGACTTCAAAACTTCAATCTCATTTTGTATCCCTTCAAATGTTATTCTATTTCTCTCTCTTCAAATATTCCAAATAGTGTTCACCCATAAAGCTCTCCATAACATGGTGCCAATTTTCGACAAACGAGGATTCATCCATTGAGAGAGAATCAACTCCAGGTTTTGTGGGATCAGGATATTTAGGTTCAACAACTTTCTATACCAATCCCACATGCTTAGAGTGAAAGGCCAATGTAAATGAATATGATCCACATTTTCGTTATCCCTCAAACATAGCCTACAAACACTGACAATTATGAAACCTCTCTTATGAAGGTTATCCACAGTAGGCAACTTTTTTTGATGAGCTACCCACAAAAATAACTGAACCTTCAGTGGTACCTGCAAATTCCATATTCTTGCTAAACTATGATCAGTCGCTCTATGATTCTCCTTATGCAGCAGTCGATAGACAAACTTAACTGAAAATCTCTTGAAGTTGTGAGTTCCCACACTAATCAATCATCTTTATTGAGAACATAGAAAAAATTATGCAACAAATTCATAAGCAATTGGAACTCGTGAAAGAAAGAATTCCAGACTCTCCTGTACCTGCAAACAATATTTCAAGAAGAGTTAGTAAAATCATCTCCACCGAGATCTTTCACTGAGGTCAATGGATTGTCGACTTTGGAGAAGACCTCAGGGAAAGAATCTCGAAGAGCAAGGTTTCCCAGTCACTTATCAAACTAGAACAAAGTTTGATCTCCCTTTCCAACCACTTTGTGACAATGACTAAGATATAATAATCAGCACACATCAATTCCTTTCCAAATACTTGAAAAACCAACCTTAGATCTTGGAATTTTAATGAGGCCAGTCAATACATCTACTCCATATTTTTCTTTTAACACCTATCCCCATAAACTATCATGCTGATTTTGGAAGCGCCACCACCACTTAGTCACTTGGCTAGTGTTCATAAATTTGAGCTTTTTAACTCCTAGACCCTCATCTCTCTTGGAAGTGCATACCTTTTCCCAATTCACGAGTTTCAATTTTTTTCCCATTCCTACATTGCCCCATAAAAAAGATCTCATAATGTTTTCCAAAGTCTTCACCTACTTTGGCATTCTGAAAATGGACATAAAATAGATGGGTGAGTTGGGCAAAGTAGTGTTGATAAGAGTAGATCTTCCTCCAAACGACAACACTTTAGACTTCCATAGATCCAGTTTCTTATTAAATCTTTCAATAATAGGATCCCAAATAGCTGCTGATTGGTTTCCGCCAAATAAAGGAATACCCAAATATTTGCAAGGAAACTTGTCAACCCCACATCCAAGAATTCCTGCCAAAGATGCAACCACGTTCTCTGAAACTCCAATCCCAATCAAATTTGTCTTTTCTAAATTAACTTTGAGACCCGTTGCTATTTCCATACACTTTAAGAACACCCACAAATTCCTTACTTCTTGTTCCTTTGGGCTACAAAAGATAATAGTATCATCTATGTACTGTAAATGAGAGATTGTTAGTCTACCAACATTAAATCTAGAAATAAGGCCTCTACTCACCACATAATTCAGCATAGTACTAAAACTTTCAGCCACAATAGTATATAAGTATGGGGACAAAGGATCTCCTTACCGAATGCCTTTTGATGCTTTAAAATAACCACAAGATTTCCATTGAAAAGGATGGAGAAATGAGTTAACTTCAGACATGCCTGAATCCACACTTTCAACGTGATCTAAAATGAATCTTCCCTAAGATTTCATGTAGAACATACCAATCCACTTTGTCATTTGCCTTTTCAAAATCTATTTTATATAGAAGACTTGGTTTTTGCTCTTTCAGCCTTGAGTGTATTCATTCTTGTACCATTAAGATACTGTCCATAATATGTCTGTCTTTGAGAAAAGCAAACTGATGACCTTTCACAACCAGATGCAATACTTCTCTCAATCTATTTGCCAAAATCTTTGCAATAATTTTATAAACGCTCCCCAGTAGGCTAATAGGCCTTATGTCCTTCACACTCTCTATAACAATTTGTTTGGGAATTAAAGCAATAAAGGTAGAATTTACTGTTGTCGAGATTTTACCTCTATGATAAAATTCATCCATGAGTAAAAAAGGATCCTCCTTAGAAGCTCTCAAATTTTTTGAAAAAAAGCTAAAGGAAACCGTCTGGTCCCGGTACCTTATCCCTCCCCAAGGAGAAGACAATGCCTTTTATCTCATCTGTTTCGAAAGGTCTTTCTAGCCATAAAGCCCTTTCTGAAGGCAATCTATCGAAGATGACATTCTTAGGACTAAAATGATTTCTTTTTTCCCTTGTAAAAGCTTCCTTGGAATGGTTGATTAAACTCATTTTAATACTACTTGGTTCAGTAAGTTCAACATCTCCCATTTTAATTTTACTAATGGAGTTACCTCTTTTTCTAGCATTAGCAATAACGTGAAAGAATTTAGTGTTTTTATTTCCTTCCTTTGGCCATTTTACTAATCCTCCCATAAATTGGATCTCATCTATCTCTTCAAAAAAAAAAAAATTCACTACAATGTTTTACTGTAGATTACCCCAAGTTTCTTTTTTCCATTTACAGATTTCATTCTTCAGTCTTTTCAATTTAGTAGTAAATTGATGACCTAGTCAACCTGCTATTTTGGTATTTTGCCAAAACTCTTCCTCAAACGTAATAAAGCTTCTATCTGATTTCCAATTAGGTCCATTCTAAAAAGTGATGGGCCAAACTTCATACCCACCGAATTTAATAGGAGAGGGGCATGATCGAAGGTAATTTTTACTAAGGCTTTAACATAAAGATTTGGAAACTTATTAAGAAAGGAGTTGGTCACCAAGAACCTATCCAAGCGGGTAAGGGTAGGGTTTGAAAGAGCATGGTTTGACCAGGTGTAGGCAGCCCCAATCGAAGGAATATCCAGAAATTTATTATATTCGGAATGAAAGAATTCAACATGCGCATACAAGGAGAGATCCTAGGATTAACTAAGGATTCACTAGGCCATCGAATCACATTGAAATCACCTCCAATACACCATGGTACATTAGCGAAATTGGTCAAAGCATTCAGTTCATCCAAAAATTGTGCTCTTTCATCGGGACGGTTGGGACCATATACATTTGTTAAACACCATTTAAAACCATCCACAAGGCCAGAAAACAAAATGGAGATATGTCTTAAAACACAATCATCTTTTTGAACGACATTCGGGTCCCATATGACCCACAAACCACCTGATAAGACATTAGAATCAAAACCCTCAAAGTCCATTGGTCTCCTTCTCCAAACTAACTTAGCGGACTGAAAATTCGGGGCCTCCATTTTTTATTCTTGTGTAATCAAAATATCAGGCTTTTCCTGTCTAATAAAAAACAAGACATCTTTTTTCTTTCTACCAATGTTGAGGCCCTGAACGTTCCGACATAGTCTTTTCATTCTAAGACATAACCCCTACTGTACCTGGTGATCTTAGAAGGACCGGCAGACCCAGTACCACATGGTTCAGAAACGACGTGAGTGCACCCATTAAGAAAGACCCTGTAATAGTTTATAGAACATATTAGATTGTCGAGCTCCCTTTGCATTTGCCCTTTGTGCTTAGATTTTTGAAATTTTAAGCCTCCAGGTTGTGCATCAACACCTTTATCATGATCTTTCTGCAACATTTCGGTGATAAGAGTCTAAAAAGTCTCCGTACTGGAGATTCATCGCATCAACAACCTTGTCGACTTTTGAGGGTTGCAGGACTACTGATAACCTTCCAGGCTCATCGTCTTCTTCATCCTTTGGGGGATCATCTGGTAAGTGATAAGCCTAGGGGATTGCCAGGACCAGTTGTTCATCTTTCTGATTGTTTCTACCACCTGCCATTTCCATTGGTTCTACTTCTTCCAAATGTTGCTGAAAGACATTTCCATCCCAATGCAAGTTCTCACTCTTATCAGGCATCAGGGGTTCAACATTGTCTTCCTCTTCTAGGTTGTAATCAATTAAGGGGTAATGGCTAGGCTCTAGGGTATTAGTTTTCTTTAGGGATTTCAGAGATTTTAAAGCCACTCTTTTCATTGGAATCTTATTCTCGTATGCCATGGCCGATGAGCTTTTTTCTTTGCCTTTTGCCGATGCAAGGATACTTGGCTGTGGTTAAGGAGGGCACCAGAAAGCACCCTAGAGATTGGCCCCTTGGGAGACTCTGCTTCATGATGGCGGACCTGAGATTTCACTCTATCCACCGCCGTTTCCAATACTGGGTGGTGTCCTTCTACACACGTCCCCAACACAGATAGGTAGATCTTTGAGAACAATAAATTTATTTCGGATAGAGATGGGAGCTGAGTTTTCATTTGAATTTTGAGATATAACATTCAAGTTTTTGTTGGCATCATACTTTACTAACCACCGTTGAACAATGCGTTTCCCGATGAAAGCGGTTCTTGATTGCGATGAACAGCCAGGATTGCTCCGAGATGCATTCAATTCTTGAGGTTTTCGTGCCATTGTACTAGGTCGGCCATTGATGCTCACAGAGATCCCCATGTTTTGTGCTTCATTGGACTAATTGTTTACTTACTATGCTAGTTAGACTGCTATCAATTTTATATGCACCCTCAATAATAAAAATTCTAGTGCTGCATAAACAAGAACTTTGCTAAGTATTACCTGGCAAAAGGGATCCTTAAGTCATCTTTCATGCACAAGGTTTTATTTTTTACATAAATATATTGGCAATTGATTATTATCATTATTATTGTTATTTTGATGAATGATAAAGGAACAACCACATTTAATACTGCAAAGTGAACTTCTAAAATTTGCAGCCAGCTTAGGACACAAGCTGATTCTGGGATGATGCAAATCTCTGAAACACTGACTTGAAACAGCAAGTATTTGAGCGTGTAGCTAATAATTTGTAAGAGAAATTTTGAAGAAAACCTAAAAATCAACCAATGGTATTCACCTCTGAACTTCTCTTTTAAAAACTCTACATGGATGCACTGTATCTATTTCGAAGGGTTATGAACCTTTCCCATCAAGCTTGTAATGTTCCTATGAACAATCACTTCATCATAGTTTTCATATAAATAGTAATCGAAATATTTAAAACTACTGTTCATGAACCTGAAAATGATTTCGTTTATTGATATGCATTAAATCTAGCGCTCCCTTTATTAGGGTATGTGTTTTCAGGCTCGTGGTATCCATGCTATGACACAAGGACATTTGCGCTCTTTGGAGTGCCTGACATGTTTGGACACATTTGTATCATACGATGTTATTCTTAGTTGATAACATTTGCTTAAATATTATATGCCCGTAGTGGTTGGAGTTGGACATGTGTTCTCCAATCTGGCAGTTTTGGAAATGCATACCTGACATTCCTCAGTATCAGAAGCCTGAGACCCATTATTGTGTTGTAGTAGCATGGTATCTATGGATGGGTATGGCTTGGCACAACAACCCATTGGACAAACTCATTCATTCACAAAAATAAGCTAGTTCTGAAAAAATTAAAAGAAAAAGAGACTGTTTCTCTAAGTTCGTTTCTGATTATTCCTTATTATTGTTGTTCTTATCGTTATTCATTTTTATCTTTCTCTTCATTGTTATTTTTTGTCATAATAACAAATAGATTTCTCAGCATTATCGCATGAAAACTTCCATCCAATTCAGTACCTGCTGTTCCTATTATTTTCATGACTGTTGTAGCATTAATTTATAATTACGAAGATTGCACCTGAATGTGGCTGAACCATGCCTACCCAACCTAATTGTTGTTGTGCAGTTTTGGCTGTGAGCCATGCTTGCTTTTCCTGGCTTTTCCTGTAAAAGTACGCATAGGCCTTTTCATCAAAAATTTGGGTGGCAATAGGTCCCTCCTGACCTGTGCTTTTGGGTGGTAGTAGCAAAAACATGTGTCTGAATAAAAGTTCCCTTCTCTTAATTCTCAAAGATACCTTGTATCTCTTCTTTTTAAAACATGTGATGTCTCTGCAAATTCTTGAAACTTGCACTTCGATAAAAATTCTATAAGAATCTATACTAGTCTCTCCCTTGCGAATAAATGGTTTCTTTCTCATCTTTGAGCAAAGTTTTCAAGTTGAAACCTTGAAATTCTTGCAAATGGGCGTCACGCCACTCATTTGAAGGCCATATCATATTAAGTATTTATTTATTCTATTATAAAAAAAATCAAAAAATTATTTATTTATCCATGATACTAATCATCTTAAAATTTTGCCAGTGGTATCAATATTAATATAAGCAAGTACTTAATAAGACCATTGGCCTTTAAGGCCACCATCATTTTTGTAATTGGAAAATTGGGGTTGTGCTATTGACGGCACTCAAAAAGTTGTTAATCATACTTTGTTGCACAGCCCTGATCACCTAATTTCATATCTTATGCCTCATGACCTTATTTTATCGAAGGTACACAGTCTTTATGCAATCCCTATTAAAAATTATTATTTGTCTTAACTATCACTAACTGGTGGTTTTCTTCAGCTTGTGCACCCAGGTAACAAAGACATAAGGGACATTCCGGGACTTGGCCCTCCAGCCCTCGCAAGGAAACTTCTTTGGGATCTCAATTAAGGGAATTTAAGGTGTTTCTTTTCTTTTCATTCTTTTTCCCTTGTAACTTTTGTGGTCTTCTATTTATTTATTTACTTCTTCCTCCTGGTTGCCCTTCAAAAGAGGAAAAAAGGAAAGGAACACAGAATTGTTCTATTAACACTATTGTTGAATATGATTTGTCAGAAAAAAAAAAAAAAACTTGGCTAGCGCGGCTCTTTTAATGTCAAAAAAAAAAACATTAATGTTTTCTCCCCATCTTGGGTGACCAATGCGTTATGTACAATGGCCTCCAATTCTTTTTAGCAACTGGCATCCACCAAATTCTGAATGGGTAGATGGTCCGTACGCAAAAATAGACCTTGTGAGCCACTTATATGTGATCCAAACAAGCCTAAAAGGAAATAAATGCATTTAATTGGCATGAATGATTCTAAATCCTAGAAATATCTCTGAGAAAAACCTATCCCAATGTATATCTTGGGAAATGTGGCACTAACGTTCATCCATTTTTTTTTGCAAGAAGCAGTGGCGCCGTGTAGTTTTCTTTTAAGAAGCAATGGCTAGCGCGGCGCGTAAACGCTTCAGTTTTCTTGTAAGAAGCAATGGCAAGCACGGCGTGTAGTTTTCTTGTAAGAAGCAATGGTTAGTGCGGCGTGTTAATGCATTAGTTTTCTTGTAAGAAGCAATGGCTAGCACGGCGCGTTTTTGCAAGAAGCAACGGTTAGCCTAGCAGGGCACTTACCTGAATATCTCTTAATTTTTGGTTATTGAATGTCCTAAATTCTAACCTCTTTTTCATTTCACTTACTTTATTTTATTTCCAAAATACTCAGGGTCCATTTGGTTATTGAAAATGTCCTGCATTCTAACCTCTTTTTCATTTCACTTATTTTATTTTATTTCCAAAATACTCATGGTCCAAAACCAAGTTCTGAACCGTTGTTTTTTCTCTTGGCTCAAATAAATTTGGAACTAGAAGTTCCAAACCGATTTTTTGGTAAACCAATAAATTGAAAACTATAACGTCTGAAGCTAATGGCGTAACAAAAACCACACAAGTTGAGTTTGGAACTTAAAATTCTGAACCGACTGACTGGTCTTTTTTTCTGAATGTAATTTGGAACTTGAACTTTCAAACCAGCTCCATGTCTATTTTAGAGAGCAGTCATTCATGTAAGAAATGCAAGCAGGCTCGGACTTGACTGACTTCTTAAACCAACTGGTTTTGGCCTTGTAAATTCTGAACCAGTTGATTTTCCAAAAAAATTGCTTTGGACTTCAAGTTTCAAACCAATGTCTCAGTAAAAAAAAAAAGGTACCTTGGTTCGGAATTTAATGTTTCGAAATGGGGATGTTTTAATAAAGAAAACTATACAATAAGATCATTTACTTTTGGTATGAGGTAGTTACAATTATTCTTAATCATTGGATGTGAAATTTGATGGTTGAATTTATTCCGTTGGTCAAACTCAAACTTCAAAGGAAAATTTTTCGAATTTTGTAACACACCAAGCTATCAAATTTCACATTGAATGGTTATAAACAATTGTGACCCCTTTGTATGGTAAATGGTCTTGTATAATGGTCTCATTATATAATCCCTTTCAATAAACCAAACACAAAAAAAAGGGACATGAGGGTAGGTTGTAAAAGTGAAATTATTGCTAATGTCTCCTTAATTTTTGAAATCAAATAAATATCTTTTAAAAAAAATTTGTGGATACTCATTTTTTTCCCCTTTTTGTATTTTCTATCTTAAGTACCCTCGCTACTGACCTAACAAGTTTGTAATAGTGCAAGGACCATTTTGGGGATTACTAAATTCCTGGAAGGTGTTCAAGAATCTCCAAAGCCGTGCTTGCATAAAGCCTTAATGGTTACAAAAAATGTTTGGCGGCCCTTAAGTGCCTAGGGATCTAGGTCACTAGGGGGCTGCCCAGAACCTCACGCATGCATATATGTGTTGTTCTCCAAATGCACATATATAGATATATGTACCAGACATATATATATTTATGCATTTATGTGTACTCCATCTAATTTTTTACACAAATATGTGCACATGAATGTGAATATGCATTATAAGTCACTGAAAATTTTGATTTTTCAAAAAATTTGAAATAGAGTATGAAGGTGAAGCCACTCAAATGTGCTTTTAGGGCGAGACTAGGAAAATTCATGGGTTCATCATTTGGCATTAAGGTCGAGTGGGGGTAGACAAAGCAATCAAGAGATACACCCCAAAAAATGAGTGAGAACTAAGACCCCTGCAATGGAGAGTTACAAATACGCAGAGGTTCATATCGAACCTCTTAGGTAGGCACCAACGTTTAACATTTTTAAGATTGATGAGGGAAGTGAGACAAGGCCCGAAAAAATACTTTTGATAGCATTCATGTTTATCTTCAAAATCCTCTACTCATATATCTTCTTGTTAGAGGGAAGGCACACATGCTGGGTTGCAAACAACAATACTCATTGAAAGAACTCCAGATTTGTAAATGTCCTCATCATCATCAAATGTAAGGGGTTTTATACAATTTGTTAGCATTTCACTGAATGTGTGAATCTCGATAAACATCTGTTGTAGTCAAAGACCATCAAAATTGGCTTGGTTTTTCATATGTTGAGGACTCATATAGCAGATGGGTAGGTGAAATGGTTCATCACTTGAATACACCTTCGCAACATAATTTAACAAGGAAAGCTTAGCACTATGTGATAAAATTGCACTTTCATGAGTCAGTTTCTATTCTCCACTTAGAGCAGCATTGTTTACTTGCGTAATGAGGCTTTGTCAAGAACCAGAGAGAGAGATGTATCCCTTTAAGCATGTGAAACACAAAAGCATAACAAAATCAGATAGACTCGGCACACCTTCACCAGAGAGAATGCCAGCAAGACCAACTTAAATTATGACAAATTTAATTTTACCACTAATACTCTTAAGTATTAATAATGCATTAGTTTTAGAAAAATATCACGAAATAAAAAAAAAACAACTGCTTATATTAACCCAAAACTTGAGAAACCTGAGGAGCATTTACTCTGGAACTTTTCTCGAGAAACGGCTAAAAAGTATTTTAGAGAAGGTGACATTTAGGTTATTGATTTGAAATAAAGAAAAATATCAAATAAAGGGTTGAAACCGGTCAAAATATCACAAATTACATTTGAGCCCAAACAATTAGGGCATTTTGGTTATTTTACCTCCAAAGAGGCCTTAATGGAATGACAGAAATACGGTATTTATGCCACTGGACATACACAAAAGGTTTGTAAAATGACATAAATACATTAATTTTTTCTCATTCTTAATACCAAACAACTTAGTTTGTGATTTCTACCTTATGACATAAATACATTAATTTTTTCTCATTCTAAATACCAAACAACTTAGTTTGTGATTTCTACCTCCAAACAAGTATGGGTACTTTTGTTATTCCATTAAAGCTTCTTTGAGGATAAAATCGAAGTGCTTCTAAATATTTGGGGTTTCTATTACCATAAGCAATTTGAAAATTTTTATCCTTTTCTCAAATGTAATTTCGTGATCTTTTATAAGGGGTCTCAACCCTTTAGTGATATTTTCCTTTAATATAATGACAGATAAGGTATTCTCTTTCTACTTTTGAATCACATGGCTTTAAGGTTATAACAAACCAAAACACCACTATTTTGCAATGATTTTGACATCAATCTTTAAAATATATTTTCTCATAATTTTTAATAGTCGGAACAATTCTAAAATAAATTGATCGATACAAGCTTAGGAGTCTTGTGGTGGGAGGATCAAACACAACTATGCAAGATCTTGCTCAACAACCCTGAGAGTCAATGAAAAGATGGAACGAATTCAACATGAGTTTCTTTTGGAAGCGTAGGTTTGAAGGCTAGGAACCCATATTTCATTCAAGGGACGAATTGGGTTGAGCATGAGAGGCTCAAAGGACTTAGCTAATGTATAGCTGAATAAGAGTCACCACAAATAAATAAAGTATTATATGAACTATGCGCCTGTTTGGGAAGCTGAAAATGCAAGTCTTGGTCATCTCACCCTAGTCCGGCTGGGTCATCTCACCCTAGTCAGCGCATTGTGGTTTTTATTTCTACTTACACCACTCCACTAGCATTTTAAAAAACTAACGGTTAAACTATTTGAAAAAATTGGTAGAAGCATGTTTTCCCCATTGAACTACCTAAAAATAAATAATAAATAAAAAGAAATAGGAGAAATTATCGTAAATATACATTAATTTAAGTTTAATTAGAAAAAAAACCCCAAACTTTTGTTTATCTTGTCTGCATTATTTTTTCTCATTTTTGATTTTTTTTTACCAAAATGACCTTCACGGTAGTCTTATTACCGTAAAACTTAGGGAATTTTATACGGTACTTTTAGTACCGTAATACTCAAGGGCATTTTATACGGTACTTTAAGTACCGTAAACTTACACTAAGCCTTAAACGGCATTTTAAGTACTGTAAACATTAACCCATATTACACAGTACTTAAAATGCCGTAAACCTCATTTTGTTTATCTCTTTTATCTTTAATTATTTTGATGTTTATCTATTCTTTCTCTATTTAATTCTTTTTTATATTTATCTCTTTTTTCTCTCTTTAATTCTTTTTTATCTCTTTTTTCTCTCTCTATAATCTTATCATCGTTTCTTTAGAGAGAGTAATCAAATGCTGACTTCGTTTTTATCTCTTTTTTCTCTCTCTATAATCTTATCATCGTTTCCTTAGAGAGAGTAATCAAATGCTGACTTCGGCTATGCAAAACAGAGGACATGATCTATCTAAGGAAACGATGGTGAGATTGTAGAGAGAGAAAGAAGAGATAAAAAAGAACTAGAGAGAGAAATGAGAGAAATATTAAAAAAAATTATAGAGAGAAATAAGAGATAAATATTAAAAAGAATTATAGAGAAAAAGAAGAGATAAACCCAGAAAGAATTAGAGATGAAATAGATAAATATAATGAGAACAGGATTTACTGTATTTTAAGTGTCGTATAAAGTGTTTTAACTTTTACGGTACTTACAGTACCGTAATTGGCTTCACGGTTTTTACGGTACTTAAAGTATCGCAATATTACTTGAAGTTACTACAATATTTAAAATACCGTATAAAATGATATGTATTACTGTAGTAAGGTCATTTTAGTCAAAAAAAGAGAAAAAAAAAAGCTGAAAAGAAGGAAAAATACTGTAGACGAGTTAAACGAAAGTTTGAGATTTTTTTTCCACTTAAGCTTAAATTAATATATATTTGTGATAACTTCTCAAAAAATAAGGATGAGAAACAAAATATTCATTTACCTAACTTTCATTTTCTTTACAATTTGGACAAAAATGCAAGTCTGAGTAACTTGCGTTTTCCCTCGAGCTTTTTGCGAAATTTACAAGAAAATCCCATTGTATTATCAAAATTCAAAGCGGGTCCTATATATTTATAGTTTACAAAAGTCTCACTTTTTTAGAGTGTGTCTTATATTTTAATTTCATTTTATGTTTTATATATTGGATGAGTTCAAATTTGGGGAATTGGTACTTCCCACCATCTCACATTTATAAAAATAGGGACATTATAAAAACTATCACCTTATTTTTAGAAAATTTAAACAACCCATCATTTCATTTGTTTTAATACCCAAAAATCCAGTGTCAAAATTTATGATAGTTTGAAAATCTAGTTTCATCCTTAGGTATACAATTTATAATTTTGAAAATAGTAAGGAACAAGTAGATGAATAAACACTTGAAAATTATGAAAAGAGACTGACAAGATCACTCGTTAAATAATACACTATTAATAAAGAATTGTTTTTCACTTTTTGAAGGTGTACTTTATTTTGATTGTTTAGAGCATTGGCTCTATACAAGCCGCACCCTTACTTAATTGGGTTGCTACTTTATATAATGGTTTGGCTTGTATAAGGTTGCAACCCTTAAACAATCAAATTGGCGTAAAAAAATTTTAGAATGGTGCATAAATCTATATTTTTTTAAACTATAAAACTTTAAACTAGAAATAATTCAAGCATATCTATAAATACATAAAAATCTTGCAAATAAGCGGCCAATCTAATGTCTTACAAAATATACTACTTTTAACACTTAAAATCACTTAAAATCTCTTTTTTTTTAATGTCAAGACAATCAATAAAATATTTTTTCACCATCAAAATAATTTTTTTCTCTAAAATGTTACCCCTCTCTCTCTCTCTCTCTC